GCCTCTTCATCTTCCAAGGTGCACCTCTGAGAAAAGCGTGGCTCCATCTTCTCTATAACCTCCCGTAAAGAGTTGAAGACCGATGCTAGATACCAGGAACTGTGTTGTGCATGTCCCCCCCGCCCCTCACTGTCTCTCTCCTCATATGCTCAGCCTTCCAGCACCCTAACTCTCTCATGGTCTCTTCTGATAGTCCTTCCATTTCTTCTACATTAATCTCATACTGGGCAGCATGAGGGCAAACCAAATATTGTTTTCCCATTTCTGGCCCCACTGCTGCCAGTTAGAGGGGAACAACAATTTCCATTTACCTGCTGGATGCACTCTTGCTAATGCAGCCTGGTGGGTTGCCAGCCTTCATCAACGCAGGGGCACAGTGCTGACTCTTGATCAACTTACTGTCCGGTAGAACCCCCACATCATTTTCTGGACAGCCATTCCTTAGTCAGCCAGTCTACTGTTGCTCATCCATTTTTTCAGTACCTAAACTACCCAAATTCAGTTTGCATACACAAGTCTCCCCCCAAATGCTTTACCATCTCTATTGCTGTGTATGCAGTGCCTGACAAATGCTGCTTGAAGGGACACTGGAGCAGGCAAGTAAAATACCAAGAAAGAACAGAGTTCCAGGAGTGCAAATAATAGAGGCTTATGATCTTTATGGTAACCCTAATGGTTATCATCTGAATTAAGTCATTATCATTGTGCTGCCACCGTCTTTCCTGCAACTGTTTAGGTAGACTGATGTTTGTGATAAGAAGTGTACACGATGACAGAGAAAAAACTGCCAGAATCAACTGTATGTGAAAAGTGTACTGTTTTGAGAAACAACTCTATGTGTTGATACAGAGAAACATCACATGAGAAGACGTTCTTCACATCTAATGTAGCTTCCTCTGCCTCTCTTTACAGTAAATGCAAGCTATGCAAATTGTGAGCCTACAACTTAGCGTCCGAGAAGTGGCTTCTATAATGTATTTTTGTTGACCAGGCAAAATGCAAGCTATGCAAATTGTGAGCCTACAACTTAGTGTCCGAGAAGTGGCTTATATAATCTATTTTTGTTGACCAGGCAAAGATGAATTACGCCCTGGTCTCTACTGCCTATATCTGAATATTTTAAGGAGATTTGGGAGTGATGAATGTATGTTAGGTACCTCCATGTAGTCAGATGAGTCCAACCTGTAAGCTTCTACGTTTGAGAAGAGAGATGAGATGAGAGAAGCCAGGAAAGAAAAAATTACCCAAAGGAAAAAAGTTCCATAAACAAATCTTGTACATTAGCAGGCGACTGCTGTTACAGCTGTCTGCCCAATCTAGTGACTTTGAAATAACAACGCTGGAGTGATGGATATGTCTAATGGTTTCCCTGTGATCTAGAAGAGAGGAATCAAAGCAAAGGACTTACTGGCTGGGTGAATGAATAGGCGGAATGCCTTTTTACAAGGTCCAATAATGTTTCTCTCTCTAACTTTGCCAGAAGTCAACAGGATCCAGTGCAGGCCTTACACTTCTATGCAGTAGAAGACGTTTACAGATCATGTCCTCCTTTAAGTCTAAAGGGTAACTATATTGTTGGTGGCTGAACCTGGCTGTCATTGAGCACCTTGCTACACAAGTCATGCAGAAGGAGCGTTGTGCTTTTGGGACAATGAAAGGCCTGCCCCAAAAGAATTGTAGTCATATTACGTACCATAGAATAACTAATGGAGCCATCATTGTGGCATTCATGTGAGATGAGGGGTAGCATGAACCTTGCTCTTCTGCGCCTCAGGACAATTTACACTAGATTGTACTGGTCTCCTCACCCCTCCCATCTCTCTGAATGTTCACCAGTTTGCACCAAGTGGGAAAGTTCTTGCGGGAAAGTTCTTGCGGGAAAGTTTGAGAACAGTAGGAAAGTCCAAATGTTTATTTGAAGGGAATGGCAATCAGCTGTAAGACCTTGTTTTCGACTAGACAGGAAAGGATTTGCACCTCTTTACAGGAGTTCAGTAAACGTTTGCACCTAGCTCTCTGAAGGTGGGCCTGGTAGCTCTGTTTTACTGTTTTTGAGGTCTTAGTATTGTTCTCAGGTAAGGGGAATTCTTAAAACTTCAAATGTATTTGTGGAACAGCAACATTTGCTTTGCTTTGCTTCTTGTAAGACAGGAGAAAAATCTACCAGCTCATTATTGTTACTATTTATCTATGCCTAGTTAGAGATTTAGACAAATAAAAGTTTAAAGCAGTTGGACATATACTCCGGTGTAACTGCAATTGGATGCAAAACTTGTCCACTTGTAAATGTGGGCGTTTTCTTTCTCAAAAGTAAATGATTCGTGGTAAACTGTCAATCTCCTACAATACTAGTATACTATACTAGTGTACTGCTAATGATCAATAGTAACTTTGGAGTTAGGATCTCATTGGGCTTGGCACTGCATATATATAGAACAAACCCATTTTTAAGTGATTGCCAGAAAACATTCACAGTCTAAATATATGGCAACAGACAAACTTTTTCCTTGAATAGAGAAGTACAAAGAGTTGTTGTTTGGTTTCAATATGCCAACAACTCAGTGATCCAGACTAACAAAGGAAAAAGAGGGATTTTTTTTGAAAAAAAAAAAAACAGAGTTGCAGATTTCTAATATGCTTTTGTAGATCTGGACCACAGGAACCAAACTCCTTTATGAATTCTTTTAAGAAGAAACTTTTGTTTCCATCCTAAAAAGCTTTGCACAGAAGTTCTTATTTTGCCCTCATTCCATATGAAAAAAATCTGGCTTTGATGTTATAGGCCAATGTTTGATGTTATATAGCTCAAGGCACTAACCAGGTCAGTGTGCAACTCATTTGAATTAGCATCCTGTAGCCACCATCTCACCTGGAGCTTCTGGGGAGCTAACACCTAACCTTTCTTTTAGAGGAGGCCTCATGACAGTAGTACAAATGGATCTAATGCCACAGCTCCCCTGTCATCATGCCCCAAGGGAAGTAGGTAAGGCGTGAATGAATACAGCAGTCACTCCAACGTTGCTGTTGGTTGGCATCCAAAGGAAGAAATGAGCCCCGAGGCCCTGAGTTATGTGTATGTCAGCTGCCCTGAAGAATGAGTTACATATTGTCACTTGTGCCTAATCAGCCTCCACGGAACTGTCTGTGGGATCCAGGAAAGTGATTTGGCTTGTTTGCAGAAATCTGTAACTTAGATGTAAGCTAATTCACAATCAATGTGTACAATCACTCAGCACCTCCTGAGAATGGTGCAACTTCCTAATGCAGGTGTCTGCCTTATCTGGCCTGAGTTGCCGCCTGGAGGTGCTCCATTGCTTGTGAACTGCAAACAGGTTTCTGGTCTCCTACAAGTCTGCCTGTTAGATGGTAATAACAGATGGTGTCACTGACATGATCTGCTCCTGTGATTTGCAGTGAAGAAACCAAAGCTTCTGAAGAATCAGGCAACTTCTTTCACTGAACAGACTTAATGGGCAATGCTAAGGTTATTACCTCATCTGGCATTGTCTTTTCTGATCTTCTGTGCGACTGGTTTAACGGGGAGAAGAAGAACAATTAAAATACAGATGGTGCAGATTGTAAAGACATTTTACAAAGGACAGGACAGAGGAGGAAATAGTTCTTGGATATTTGAAAGAGCTATGGTTGCCTGAAAAGATTGAAGTTTTACAGTGTGACTGCATTTGACAAAAGATCGATCTGGGGAGCAGGCTCCAGGTTGTTTATTGTTCACTCAGTCAATGTAATGAAGTGAGTCATCATTATCAGTAAAGTTTGTTGCAAGAAGGCTTCTCCTCCCTCCTTTTCCCATAATAAGATTTTTTTCTTTTTGCATTTTCATTCTTTATCGTCTTTAACGCAAAACCACCTATTTGTCTTTATCATTTGAATAATTAATGAGGAGCTATATTGCAACAGTGATGATAACAAAACATTCCACATAACACATTTATTTAGTTGATATCAAGAGGTTCAGAGTGGTGATAGTAAAACCAGTCAGAATTTAGCTAGCTAATGTGGGTGAACTAGTACTGAGTCCCAAGGTCCCACGTGTATTGGTTTCTGAAGAATGGGAAACAGTCTGCTAACTCAGATTTTGATATGTTCCCATTCACCAGAGGATGAAACCGTGCTTTTAGAGAGACCTACTGTTCATCTTCATGTATGACTACACTGACAATGATCACAGTCTAGAAAGAACAGTAATGAGAGAATTTAATGTGCTAAGCCAGTGGTGGTGTTTGCATTTACAAGACTGTGTGCTGTCCCAGGGGAGATATCTTCCCTCCCCCTTATTCTTTGTCCGTTACTTAAAACCCTTCATCATTTGGTGTTGGAGAATTTGCCTGGAGAAGAGAGACAGAGCTCAGCCGTAGCTAGTGCATTAGAACATCAGGAGCATGAAACATCTTAGACTTAAACCCTGACTTTCATCTTGTTACAGAGGTAACTAACTTACTATGCATGTGAAAATTTTTGAAAGCAGACTTTTTGGAAAGTGGCTTTATTTTCTTGCAACACCTCTAGTTTCAAATACATCCGGAGTTTAGAAGCCTCAGCAAAAAGAGGATCTCTTCTTGTCCCTTAAACTTTGTCATGGTTTTCTTTGATTGGAAAGAAATTGGAAGAGATAAGTAGAAACTGACTTCAGTGACATGTTTTTCTTTTGAAATCTTATTTTAGTCCTCTCAGCTTTCTTTCTGAAATTGGATTTGGCTGTACAGTGGTATTATGAACTACAGAAGCTGTATAATTTTCCATATTTTGAAATCAGGAATAAACAAGAAGCCAGTACTGATGGAAAAGAAAACAAAAGTATTGAGTAGTTTATTGACAGCATGCCTTCATGTTAGAGAGTCATTTCCCTTTCATGTCTCTGCTGATTCATGTTTCATATACAATTAAATTTAAAATCTAGCATTGAATCCTCCCTCTCCTCTCGCCCCCAGTTATTCACAGCACGAGACACATAAGTAAGTGTTGCAATGGCAAACTGAACCATGGTCAAGAATTTCATCCTTGTGGGTTTCACAGATGGCGGGAAGTTGCAGATCTTTGTGGTTTTCCTTGTCATCTACACCTCAGTTATAATTGGAAATTTAGTGATTGTCACCATCAGCGTCGTGGACCGTGGGCTCCGTGTGCCCATGTATTACTTTATTTGGAACTTTTCACTCTTGGAAATTGGTTTCACTTTCTCTGTCATTCCTAAGGTCTTGTTCAACCTAGCATCAGGAGAAAACACAATGTCTGTGACTGATTGCTTTTGTTCAATTTTTTTTATGTTTCATCTTTGGCATGACCGAGTTTCTTCTCTTGGCAGCAATGCCATTTGACAGATATGGAGCCATCTGCTACCTCTTGTCTTACTCCACCATAATGAGCAATGGGCTTTGTAGCTTATTAGTGCTTGGTTCATGGGGGCTGAATTTTGCACTTCTAATTGGCCCATCAATTGTTGTCTTCCAGTTACCCTTTTGTAACCAAAACGTTAACCATTTCTTCTGGGACAGTGCACCTTTGGTAAAACTTTCCTGCACAGAAACAACCTGTCCTAGTTCTTGTTAACTTCTCATGTTAACTTCTCAATAGCTGTTTTTCTTCTCCTGGGCGCTCCATTATCACAGTCCTGTCTTATGCCAATATAATTTCCACTATATTGCACATTTCATCTGCTTCAGGGAAGCAGAACGCCTTTTCCACTTGTGCATCTCACCTATTGTTGTCTTCATCTCTTCTGGGAGCTGCGTTTTCATGTATGTTAAACCTGTACGCATGGGTGGGCTCGACATCAGCAAAGGGGTAGCTATTCCCAACACAGTGGTATTTCCTCTGCTCACCCCATTCATCTTCAGTCTGAGGAACAGGCAGGTTCAAGAAGCCCTGCAAGAATATTTCTCCATGTGCAGTTCTTACAGAGCAATTGCGAGTCTGATGAGACGTGAAAAGTAAAGAAACTTTGCAGGGAATCACCTTAAAGGCTGAAGATGTACAAATATTCCAAGTATGCATTTGTGCAGTGAGTGTCAGAAACTTTGCTGTTGTCTCTGATCGGTTGTCCCTCACTCCCTTTTTGCCTACATGACAAATCCTGGTGGAAGATGAGTCTCCAGTACACTTTAGCAACGTGGCAGCTGGTTCTGAAAAGAGAACCAGGCATCCGATACACACCATACTGGAAACACAAAAGTGATTTAGGAGGGCAAGAGTAAGAAGAGAAAGACCATATTGGTGTATGAAGATGGACTGCAGCAAACTGAACTTGCCACAGGAATGTACACTGGGTGAGGTTACAGAAGAAGGACGTTTTTATCGGATCTAGAGAGTGGTCAGTGCTGTGGATTTGCAAACTTTAGCTTACAAGCTCTGTTTATTTTGTTTCTGTGCTGGCGGAATTTTTCTTTCAGTTTAGGGGAAACAGAACCACGGTTATTCTGTCAGGGACCCCGATGGGTGGTGGCAGAGTTTAAGGCATATGTATTTGCCTACTGCCTGAACCCTTGCCTTGTAGTGCCTGTATTGTGTTATAGCTTTGCCTTCTGTGGGAAGTATGGACTTTGAATACTCATTAATGGAGAGCATCTAAAAATCTGTCAGTGCATCTCAAGATCCACCTTCTGGAAGAGCACTGAGAGTCTAGGGGTAGAGATGGTATTTGTACTTTTGGGGGCCTTGGGTGAAGATATATTCAACTTCATCTAGTGGGAAAACCCTTGAACTTTCAACATACAAGAGAATGAAAAACTCCAAACTTGTTTTGGAACACCTTGCAATTCCGAAGCTGTTAGGAACATTTTCGGGGTGGCTGATTTTAAAATCTGAAACCAGAGTTCCGGAGAAGAAAACGTCATGCTTTTTGAGTTCCTGTTTGTTCTTTACCATCGTCACTTGCAGCTGAGGCCATAGCTGGTTGTGCTCATCTAAGATGACTCTGGGCATGAAGGTCATGCTGGCTTTCTTACAACCAGCTCTTTCTAGATGAATTTTCTGTCCTAGCCTTGCTGTTTTGCTTGACCTCTGTAGTGGACCCTGATAACTGCAGGTATTGTTTATAGCGCTTTCATTTTTGAGTCTGAATTGAAAAGACTATTTTATTTTAAGAATAAAGAGAAAATGCTATGTTATAAGAAAATCAAGCATTTTGTTATTTGTTTATTTTTACTCAGGAGAATAACCCTTCGGCCTTTGCCCAAAAGACAGCTCCCTTTTCTGGTTTCTTAAAATGGCCATGTAAAAATACATTTGTCATTTTAGGCCTGTCATAATCATGTAAGTCCACAAGCAAATTAAAAGTGGATCATTTCAACCTATCACCTGTTTCTTCCCTGATGCCAATTATGAAAACTACAAAAGTTTCAATTACTGTGGGATCATCATTTCTCTTTAGAGCTGCCAGGCTTAGGAAAAGTTAGGAAAGTGTGTTAATTGAATGGTCTGGAACTGGTAAAGCCTGAAAAGTTTCTGCAGGTATTCTTCAGAACTATTTTTCTTGTACGGAAGTGAAGCATTTAGTGTGTCTAGTGAAAGAAGAAAAAAAAGAATCACTTGAAGCTGTTTTGGCAACAGATGCAGGCCGGGATTTTAGCAAACGCTTGAAAACATGAGCTCAGTCATTAGCTAGCGTCTCCGTGAACACATTTTTAGGTTATAGAGTAAGCTGCAAATCAGTCCAAGACTGTGTCTTATGTGTGCAAACTAAGCATTAAAATGCTGTTCTTACTCTCTGTCGGGAGCAGTTCACATCTCCACATCAGTACAGCTAAGAAAACCACAAAACCAGACGTTCCCTTTTTCCCTTTAAGTCTTGCTAGTTGAAGCTTGGGTGTGGTCAGAAATAGTTATTTATTTATTTATCTATCGGATCATTTATTTATTTATTTCCTAGAGAGAAACTAGAAATATTAGTAGATTTATAAAGTGTGTCTCTGTTCTAGACTTCGGCATAGTACCTGCAATGGGATTTCATTTAACTGATTACTACTTTACAGAGAGCATTTTCAGAGCTTTGTAAAGGCAATGGGATTTCATTTAACTGATTACTACTTTAAAAAGAGCATTTTCGGAGCTTTGTAAAACATAACACTGAACCTGCAGGACCTGGTGAAATCAAAGACCATCTTTGGAGGATCTTAGCTGACAGTGTTAGTGAAGGCAACAAAAGGGGTTTTCAGTAAGACGGGACTTGCTTAATGGAGATTTAAATCCATTGAAAATACTGTAGATTTAAAAACTCACCAGTCTTCCCATTGTTGCTGCTCTGGCAGGGACCCAGTCTTACTGAAGGAGGCATGGAGGCTTCATGGTTGTTGTAAAATGTGCAAGTAGGGTAGCCAAGCAGGATAGTGTTACAATAAGTAGGTAGGGGAGGAAGTAAATCAGGCCATCCCTGTACACAGTAGTAGGTTCAGAAGGGAAGTCCTGTGTTAGTGAACGCAGCTGCTCTTTTTTGTGTAATTTTGTCACATGGATCAAGCACAATCTTGAACCTAGTTATGTTGCGTGCCAACACCAAGGCCCAGCTTGGGATGTTGCATCTCGGCGCGTATCACACATTGGCAATGCCTCTGAACAAGTGTGAGTGGGCACAGCTTTGCCCATCACAGATGCATCCTCTGATCACAGAAAGGCTAGAAATATGGTAAAGGGCATTAGCTGTTTGTCTGAACACATTGCTCCACAGAAGTGGGAGAAGATTCAGGACTATTGTGTCTGTCATGTTGGTATACTGTGAGTCTAGCCGCTGGAACTGGAGTCCCACTCTGCAGGGGTAAAGTCCACGTATAAACTACTGGGATCATTTTAAAGATTTCTGAGTCTTGATTCTGTAGAAGACGTGATGAGTAACTCAGATATATCTGTCTGAAACACCACAGAGTTCCACTTCCATACCAGTTCTTCAGTGGCTCCACAAACATATTGAGATGGGAGGAGAGTTAATAACTGTTCCTAGTTTTCTCCTGAGGAAAATTAGCCCTGAAAAGAAAGAAATAAATAAATGATAACATGACACGTAGAAGAAATGTCTTGCCATTTTATTTAAAACTAGCTAGACAGAGAAAAATATCAAGAGCAGAAATATCTTTGGGAAAGGTTGAAAAGGATCAAATCGAAACTTATCTACAGGAAAAATTAATCAAATGTCCTTAGGAAAAGAAAATATACAATTCATAGGCTTCTTCTTACCTTCCTTTTTAAAAAAAATATATAGATTGGATCAAGAGTCCATCTTTTGGGGAAAACATGTCCTCCTGAAAGCTTCTTCTGGGACTTGCTCCTCAGATGGTGGATGGGGGATCTGAGGATGGGTATCACCAGCGTCATCAAAGCAGCAGTAACTTTGCTGAATTCCAGGGAGTAGCTTTGCTTGTGTCAGACACTAACAAGCATAGAATAACATTGTTAAGACTTGAATAGACGGTGATAATGAATGATAACGATTAAAAACTAACCACTGGTGACTTGTATTATTAATGAATGTCGGCCTAGTGAAATTCTGTTTTAAAGTTTGAAACTGGTCTAATTTATCAGTCCTCTGAACATTCCCATGACAGTGGTGATTAATTCTGTCATATATATGTGAGAGAGAGAGAGAGAGGTACACACACACACAAAATTCTTTGATGTTTATACGCATATGCTTAGTTGCAACACAAGGCAACCGATGCATATACGGGCTGATCTCTGCAAAAAAAAGGAAACAAAAGTAACGTTTCAGAAGAAATGTCCAGTTTCTTGGGCACAGAAGGGTAGCTTGGTTTATATGATGGTGGCACCAAGTGTGGGTAGCGATGCCATCATTCAGCTGCTAAGGGTGAACATGGAGCATGATGAGCCATTCAAAGTTACACTATAGTGCAACAGGTTGCAAATGACCACTACCATCAATTCAGGTTGGATGAAGGCAACCGAAGGAAGTCCAGGAACTTGGAGAAGAAGGTTGGGATTCACAGGTAGCCGTTACAAAGGCCTATTTTTCCAAGATAAGGCTGACAAAGATTGGGGAAAATCACCAAGGTGAACAGGATATCTAAGAAGGGCACGTGGCTGAGGAAGAAGTACTTTGAAGTGTGGGACTGGTGGTCAGACTCGATGGTGGAAATTATGCTGGTGTTCTCCAGGAGAGTGAGCAGATAAATCAGCAGCAGCAGCAGAGTGAAGATTTGCATCTTTCAGGTGGAAAGGCCACCAGAAAGAATTCCCTGTGCCAAGTCTGCTTGAGAGGATCCGTCTGAGTGCCTGGCCTATTGAGAGGACTGTCACTTCAATCTGAAGTTACACAAGCATCTCTGGGGAGATGACAGATGTGAAAATGTTGCCAAAAGATGGCAGCTGCTAAGGAAGAAGTATGTGGGTACTGGAGGTGCTGACTGCAAAAGTATGTGGAAGATGAGAGGGTCTGCTTCATTAGGGTTATCTGATCAAGGACCTTTTCAATGCAAAGATGATAATAAGTAAAGGGGGAAGCAATAAAGAAGAGCACAGAGGGACACAAACCTGGGAGGCAAGGGATAATGGAGACAATGGCAAAGACCAAAAGTCTTCAATCACAAGTTGATGGGCCATTAAGA